CTCCTCATTGGATGCTCCTGCATCAGACTCCCCAAGTTGGAAAGGACTCGCCATCGAGTCTAAACCAGTAAACTCGTTCTCTCCATGATAAACTTGTAAATCAGAAACATTGAATGTGGGCGACACCCCAATATCACTTGGAAGGTCTAACACATAAGCATTCTGGCCAGCTCGTCTCAACACCTTGTAAGGACCTCCACCCCGATCATGCAACTTACCGTATTTTCCACGCGGAAACCGCTCCTTCCTCAGATTAATCCACACCAAGTCACCTTCCTGAAATTCTGTATGCCGGCGATGTTTATCAGCATTCTCCTTGTATTTTTTGTTGCTTTCTTCAAGTCGCTTTCTAACTTTCCCATGTAGCTTTTGAATATAATCAACCATATCCTTTGCATCACCGCTAAAACGATCATTAGTTGGTAATGGAATTAAGTCCATTGGACTATTGGGATTGCGTCCATAAACCGCCTCAAAAGGACTCATGTCAATGCTGCGATGCTTAGAACTATTATAGGCAAACTCAGCCTGTGGCAAACACTCACTCCAACCTGCCTTGTTATCCCCAACCAGTGACCTCAGTAAATTACCTAGAGTACGGTTAACCACCTCTGTCTGCCCATCTGTTTGTGGATGATGAGCGCTGCTAAATTGGAGTTTGGTTCCCAACTTCCGCCACAAGGTTCGCCAAAAATGACCCACAAACTTAGTATCTCTATCAGATGTAATCGTACTAGGAATTCCATGCAATTTGACAATTTCTCGAAAATAAATATTGGCAATGTGACTAGCATCCATTGTTTTCTTGCAGGGCACAAAGTGTGCCATTTTAGAAAAACGATCTACAATAACGAGAATAGAGTCATACCCTTGCTTTGTTCTTGGCAGTCCCAAAATAAAATCCATGCTCACATCTTCCCATGGAGCTTGTGGTTCAGGTAAAGGTGTATAAAGTCCGGTATTTTGGCTTCGACTCTTAGCCACGTGACAAACTCGACAACGCTGTACATATCTGGACACATCGGTTGGTAGCTTGGGCCAATAAAATCTTTCTCCCACCAAAGCTAGTGTCTTGTCACGCCCAAAATGCCCACCCAGACCACCACCATGTTGCTCTTCAATAATCAAGAATCTTGAGGAGCAATCTGGAATGCACAGTCGACTTCCTTTGAATAAATACCCATCTTGAATATGAAAATCAAGCTTCGAATTTTTATCTTCACATTCTGCCCATATACTGCCAAAATCAGGATCTTCTTTGTAGAGCTCCTTCAATTGCTCAAAGCCAACTACTCGAACTCCCATAATGGATAATAATGCCCTTTTTCTACTCAATGCGTCAGCCACTTTATTCTTAACTCCAGACTTATGCTTGATAACAAAATCATATTCTTGGAGCTCCTCCACCCACTTAGCATGTCGTCGATTTAGTTTGTGCTGACCATTAATAAACTTCAACGCTTCATGGTCAGAATAAAGAATAAATTCTTTATAAATTAGATAATGTCGCCACTGCCTGAGAGATTGTATAATAGCAAAAAATTCAATATCATAAGTGGAATACCGTTGCCTTGCCTCGTTAAGCTTCTCACTAAAGAAAGCGATTGGCTTCCCTTCTTGGCTTAAAACTGCCCCAACTCCTACCTTGGATGCATCGCAATCAACTTCGAAGACTTTTTGATAATCAGGTAACACAAGCACTGGAGCCTCTGTCATGGCTTTTTTTATGGTTTGAAAGCTCTTCTCTGCAGCATCTGTCCATCTAAACACACTGGCCTTCAAACAATCAGTCATTGGTGCAACAACCGAGCTAAAATTTCGAATGAACCTGCGATAAAACGAAGTTAATCCATGAAAGCTTCGAATATCGTGAATAGATTGTGGCGTGGGCCACTCCAGAATCGCCTCAATTTTTTTTGTATCCACTTTAATGCCATCCGCCGAAATTACATAGCCTAAAAAAATTAGGCTCTCCGTAAAAAATTCACACTTTTTCAAGTTGGCGTAGAGCTTTTGTTCTCTCAAAACTTCAAAAATCTTCCGTAAGTGATCCATGTGTTGGGCTGCATCTTGACTATAAATAAGGATATCGTCGAAATAAACTACCACGAATTTTCCAATGTAGGGGCGAAATACCTGATTCATGAGTCGCATGAATGTACTGGGTGCATTTGTTAATCCAAATGGCATCACCAACCATTCGAATAAACCATCTCGAGTTTTAAACGCCGTTTTCCACTCGTCACCTTGCCTCATCCTGATTTGGTGATATCCACTCCTTAAATCAATTTTTGAAAATATTCTTGCCCCTGCTAAATGATCTAGCATATCATCCAAACGAGGGATCGGGAACCTATACTTCACAGTGATTTTGTTAATTGCACGACTATCAACACACATACGCCATGTGCCATCTTTTTTTGGTGTGAGTAGTGCTGGAACGGCGCATGGACTCATACTTTCTCGAATCACCCCTTTTTTTAACAACTCTGTCACCTGTCTGTTGAGTTCTTCATATTCTTGCGGACTCATGCGGTAGTGAGGTCTATTTGGTAGGCTTGATCCCGGAACAAGATCAATATGATGCTGAATATCCCTCATAGGCGNTCTGATGCTGAATATCCCTCATAGGTGGTAGTTCTGTAGGTAACTCTTCTGGCACCACGTCACAAAACTCCTGCAAAATAGGTGTTAATTCAGTAGAAATATTTTTTTCGGACACTGTTTCCTTCACCAGTAGCATGTACAGGCTGCCTCCACTCTCTTCTGACTCTTCTAAAAATCTGTTCATAGATAAAAAATTGTTGCTCTCTCGTCTGGTCGGCTTGGGACTGCTTTCAAACCTGGATGGACCTAAAATTAATCTCACGCCATCCTTAACAAAAGTATAAGTGTTCCGATACCCATCATGCACTGCCTTTCGGTCGAACTGCCAAGGCCTCCCCAACAATAAATGGCAGGCATCCATTGGAACTACGTCACACCATTGAGCATCTTGGTATTTTTTTCCTATTGAAAATGCCACCAAACATCGTTGATTGACCACCACATCATTCCCCTTCTTGAACCATGTAAGCTTATATGATTCTGGCCTCCTTTCGGTCTTCAAGTTGAGTTTATCAACCATATCTTGTGACACAATATTTTCACAACTACCGCCATCAATAATAACATGACAAACCTTTCCATTAGTAGTGCACTTAGTGTGAAAAATATTATGCCTTAGCCAGTTGGGATCATCTTCTACCTTAGCTGCATTCATCACCCTCCGAATGACTAGTGACTCACCATGATCGCTCCAAGTAATCTCTTCCCCCTCATCTTGATAATTATCAAAGACAGGAGATCCATCAAAATTGCCTTCACTGCACTCACCAAGCTCTTCCACCAGACTCACAATTTTTCGATTTGGACACTCTGATGCAATATGCCCCAAACCTGAACACTTGAAGCACTTCACATTTTTCTTACCGCTTTCCTTGTTACGAGCGTCTTGCATAGGAACCCTCTGCGACTCTGCCTGTTTCCCAAATTCAGGACGTGTTGTTGCTCTTGTTGTACCCATTTTATTTTGTTCAGAATCATCGCCACCCGTGCTCCTATATCGTGCCCTCATCTGCTTCTCAACCTGGATTGCTAGCTTGTAGACATCGTTATAGCCCCAATAAGGCTGTAATGACACAACATCATGAATTTCTCGCCGCATGCCTCCCAGATAGCGAGCCACAGTTTGCTCTTCTTCCTCTGTCACGCCACACCTCATTGTTAAGAGATCAAATTCTGCAGTATACTCATCAATGGAACGAGTCCCTTGTCGCAAATTGTGCAGTTTCAGGAAATTGTTTTGGCGATAAGTCTCAGGCAAAAATTTCTTCTTTAATTCTTTTTTCATCTTCTCCCAGGTTCTGATCTTAGGCTTTCCAAGGCGTTCCCGTCGAACCCGCAATTGTTCCCACCATGCAGATGCATGTTTCATCAGTTTAATTGCCACAATCTTGACCTTTTTTTCATCTGGCACTTCCTTGTAATCAAAAATTCGCTCAACAGAATTCAACCAATCAGTAAATTCGTCTGGCCGAATTTTTCCTTCGAACTCTGGTATATCCACCTTCATGTCAAAGTAACGAGCTGTGTCGTTGTTAAACGATCGGCCCCTTCGTTCCCTTTCGTCCGACTCACCCAACGGAGCACGGTGATGAAAAGGGTTATCCTCCTGCTCCCCATCAAAACTCTCATCATCCATGTGTCGAGTTTCAATGCGAGCCAGTCGATCCGCAAGTTGTTGAATCATCCTCCTAATTTCCTCCATGTCATTGTTGTCGTTGTCACGACCCTCCATTCGAAAACCTCCTCGACCACGTCTGTTGTGAGCCATGAAATCACCTTGACTCCACCACACAGCAAACCTGTCTCTGATACCAAATTGATGGGTTGAGATTCTCACACACAAGCCTCAAAACTGCACTCACACACGACACCAGAAATTAACAAAACAATACTCACAATATGCTGCCAA